CCTGTGCTCACCACAGCGCTGCAGCCTGGTGTGAGGTCTCTGCAGCCCCTGGCCCACGGCAGGGGGACAGCCAGGGAGGCCGGTGGCAGCGGCAGCATGGCGGCTGGGGGGCTGGAATCGCCTGGCCTCCTGCCCCCGGACTCCTGCCAAACATCTGCAGCAGGCGGGGGCTGGCTCCAGCGCAGCTCTGGAGAAAAACAACTGAGGAGGGAGGTTCGTGCGAGGGTCAGCCCGCGCAGCCCGCCTGCCGTTTGGGGTGGGGGGGGCCCCGATCCGGCAGGGTGGAGCGGCACTCTGCCCTCAGATGGTCTTGCTGGAGCCCCCAGCACCCTCAGCTCTCCCGTCCTGCCTCCAGCATGGCACGGCACGGCACAGCGAGGGCACTGGGTGACATGCCCAGGGTCCCACAGAAGTACAGTGGCAGAGATGGGGTCCAACGACTGTGGCTCATTAAATCCTTTCCTCTTCCCTATCTCCACCGAGGCCAATTCGGTGCTAGGACCCAAGGAGAGGGGGACTTGGAGAAACGGCTGCCTTATTTTTATTTTGGTTTTAGGAAAATGCAGTTTGGGAGTGGCTTAGACTTTCCCTGCACGTGACGGGGATCAGGGACACGTGGAAGGGACACAGGTACTCTGTACCACCACTGCATGTGCCACACTGCTCCTCCTGGCCCCCAAGTCCCTGTCAACCATGGGAAAGCCAACAAAGCCCCACGCAGGCAATTAGGGTATATAATTAGAAATGGGTGGCTGTTCCCATGATGAAAAGTAGCAGGGCAGGGAGCGCAGTCCTGAGCAGTTCTGCAGCCCTGTCCTGGCTCTGTCCTGTGAGGTGGCTCAAGCTCTGGCCAGGGTCAGCAGTGTGAGCTGGCTGGGGAGCACGGCACCATGCCGGGGAGCGTGGCACCGTGCCGGGCACGCACTGGTCCCTGTCAGCTGCAAGACACAGCAAGGTGCAAGTAGCGTGTCAGCCAGGAGCTGCAGCCCCGTGGCCCTGTGTCCCCAAATCTCCCCAGAGCCTGGGAAGTGGGTGGGAAGGGTCAAGCCCCTGGTTTTGGTTCCCACAGGCTCCCCAGTTTTGGCAAGGAGCTGCCTCGCACCACCCACAGCCACCTCTGTGAGGGGTGACCAGAGCACCCCTGCGGCCAGCTGAGCTGTTGGCACGTTGAGTTGGGCTTTGGGTAGTTCCCAGGCAGCGGCTGAGCATCTTGCCGGTGGCAGCGGCAGCATGGCGGCTGGGGGGCTGGAATCGCCTGGCCTCCTGCCCCCGGACTCCTGCCAAACATCTGCAGCAGGCGGGGGCTGGCTCCAGCGCAGCTCTGGAGAAAAACAACTGAGGAGGGAGGTTCGTGCGAGGGTCAGCCCGCGCAGCCCGCCTGCCGTTTGGGGTGGGGGGGGCCCCGATCCGGCAGGGTGGAGCGGCACTCTGCCCTCAGATGGTCTTGCTGGAGCCCCCAGCACCCTCAGCTCTCCCGTCCTGCCTCCAGCATGGCACGGCACGGCACAGCGAGGGCACTGGGTGACATGCCCAGGGTCCCACAGAAGTACAGTGGCAGAGATGGGGTCCAACGACTGTGGCTCATTAAATCCTTTCCTCTTCCCTATCTCCACCGAGGCCAATTCGGTGCTAGGACCCAAGGAGAGGGGGACTTGGAGAAACGGCTGCCTTATTTTTATTTTGGTTTTAGGAAAATGCAGTTTGGGAGTGGCTTAGACTTTCCCTGCACGTGACGGGGATCAGGGACACGTGGAAGGGACACAGGTACTCTGTACCACCACTGCATGTGCCACACGGCTCCTCCTGGCCCCCAAGTCCCTGTCAACCATGGGAAAGCCAACAAAGCCCCACGCAGGCAATTAGGGTATATAATTAGAAATGGGTGGCTGTTCCCATGATGAAAAGTAGCAGGGCAGGGAGCGCAGTCCTGAGCAGTTCTGCAGCCCTGTCCTGGCTCTGTCCTGTGAGGTGGCTCAAGCTCTGGCCAGGGTCAGCAGTGTGAGCTGGCTGGGGAGCACGGCACCATGCCGGGGAGCGTGGCACCGTGCCGGGCACGCACTGGTCCCTGTCGGCTGCAAGACACAGCAAGGTGCAAGTAGCGTGTCAGCCAGGAGCTGCAGCCCCATGGCCCTGTGTCCCCAAATCTCCCCAGAGCCTGGGAAGTGGGTGGGAAGGGTCGAACCCCTGGTTTTAGTTCCCACAGGCTCCCCAGTTTTGGCAAGGAGCTGCCTCGCACCACCCACAGCCACCTCTGTGAGGGGTGACCAGAGCACCCCTGCGGCCAGCTGAGCTGTTGGCACGTTGAGTTGGGCTTTGGGTAGTTCCCAGGCAGCGGCTGAGCATCTTGGGGGTTTGCCTGGACCTGGGGGAGCACCCCACACCACTTGGGGACTCATACCAGGGCAGAACTAAGCCACTTCTCCAGTAGCAGTGCAGGTTTAAAGCTTTGGGAAACACTGCCCATGATGGAGGGACCTGCAGCTCCCCTGATCCATGGATTCCCCAGGTGCCCAGGGGATGTACCCAGTCCCCAGCCCTCCCACGCCAGCCAGGGCTGCACTCAGAGCCTAACGTCAGCCTTTCCCAGGACATGGCGTTCCTGCCGGAAAAGGACACAGGATGGGACATGGCTCCCAGCCTCCCTTAAGCCCATGGCCCCATTCTCCTTCCCCAGCCCCAGCAGCAGCTCCGGCAGCCGGCTCAGTGACAGTGCCCTGGCAGGGGTGACCCTGCTTTCTAGCAAAGCCAAACCTTGAGCTGGCACTTGCCATCCCCTGGGGGCTCACCCGCTGCCACCCCCTCCTGCTCTCTGTCCCAGGCCAGCCCCCACCCTGACCGCAGCTCCCCCCTGGCCAGTTAATCCTCCCATCAAATTTTTTTTTTTTTTTTTGTGGGATTTCAGGGAATTTACACCTCACCACGGATATTTCCCTTGGAGCCAGCCCAGGGTAAATGTTTGCATTCCCCAGGTTTGCAAACAGGGCCCTGGAAAATCCTGCCCCTGGGGACACCAAGGGATAGGGGACCGCTGTGCCCTGCCCTTGACCACACTGGGGGTCACCACGGGGCTACGGCTCCCCCAAGCCCCGGCAGAACCCACCTCCTGGGAGGGACCCTAACCCAAAGCAGCTTCTTGGAGCACCCGAACTTGCTGGGCTGCAAACCAGGAAAGCAAGATTAACCCTTCCCCACCCCTGAGCAGCACAGCCATGGGAGGGGAGGACACCAGACCCCAGCCCCAGCCTCCCCGCGGATGCTGCTGGGCTGATCCCCGCTCCTGGGGTCCCAGCACCTCGCTGGGGTGGTGGTGGTGGTGGTGGATGTCACCTCGGCTGGCAGCCCTGCGCAGGGTGGGGACGTTGCCCGGCGCTTTTCCCGCCCTGCAGGTTTTAATCCCCATTGTCCGCCGCTCAGATAACGCCTTGCATAAAACCCTCGGCACAATAGCCGGCTTGTCGCGGGTGTCCCCCCGTCCCTGCCCCTCCGAGATGCCAGCATGACACTGCCACCACCCCCCACACC